CACAATGGAAAAACTAGCGGGGACCAGCAGGAATGAACTGAAGTTTCAATATGTGCACATGCATAAAAATAATAACCGTGGGATTGCTTCTAATCTGTGGGGGCATACCAGTGAGGCATGGTTGAGTCCTCACAATGGAAAAACTAGCGGGGACCAGCAGGATGGAGGGGAAGGAAAACTAATGTGGTATGTTTATCATGTAGCTGTGTTCGTCCCGAAAAAAGCAAGCATCCGAACGGACCTCAGGTTGCGTTAAACCATTCTGCTTTTTCTGGAAATGAAGTTCTAACCATCCTTTACAAGGGAGAAAGCAGGCGTCACAGAAGTTGAGCTGGCATCCTCTAAGGTTAGAAACCACTGCAAATTAGAGGTCAGCCACTGTAAATACACAAATAGCTCACGAAACTAGGCCCCGCGCAAAAAACACAAGTGTAATATTTTCACTATACAAGACACCCTCTGCGAGACAAATCAGCCGCCTTTCATCGAATGACATAGATGGGATACCCACGACTGACGCCGAAGCTCACAGAGAACATTATGTGAGGGCGAATTCCACCTGAACAGTCTCGTCACACACCAGAGGTGGACTCCGAAGCTCACAGAGAACATTATGTGAGGACGAATTCCACCTGAACAGTCTCGTCACACACAATCCTAGCAGGGCGCACCTAAGAACAACTTCCAACCAACCTGATCTTCACGGTTCAGGATGTTTGTCAACCCATACGCAAGACCAACCCATTCAGCCCACAGGGATCAGGAGGCGTGCTTTCTTAGGATCATGGTGGAAATGGAGCTCACCTCAACATAATGCTTCTTTAGTCAGTCTTCCATCTGCTTGGGGGAAAGCATTTGCGAAGCCAAACAAGTCTCTACAGTTTCACTGCACACAATGATTCTGAGATTTCTGCCACCGCTTATCCGCATTGATAATCCCTCTTCACCCCGGCCATAAGCTCGACAGTCCAAGGAAACGAAGCCTCAGTGAGGGTATCTTGGCCACACAATGCTCCGAGTCGCCAAAACTTTACGAATAGAATGGGACGTTTTACGCGGAAATCTTGCATTTTGTTGCATACACGCTGGAACCAAAAGCTATGTTATACAAAATCAAGCCACCATCCTGGACCTCGCTCGAAAAAACAAAAACATCTTGTTCAAATGCATGAGACATCGCCGCAGAAACAAGTCATCAGCGTTCGCCCCGGGGGACAGGAACGGAGAACCGACGAATGATACAACAGTGGTATGTGAGGTTTACAGAGAACACTATGCGTGTCTATACTCAGCCCCAGCGTCTTCGTCACATCAGCTCTTGTCAAGGCCGAACTACGAAAAGCCTCTAACCGACTTGGTCTTCACGGTGGAGGACATTCGTCAACTCCTGCACAGGATCAACCCATTCTGCGTGTTGGGGCCCGACGAGGTACATCCAAGGATCCTGAAAGAAACGTCCTCCACACTGGCAAGTCATCTGAACTTGGTGTCTTGTCAGTCGCCTGACGAAGGCTGCCTTCCCTCTGCTTGGAAGGAAGTGATTGTCACGCCAATAGACAAAACTGGTGACCGACTATCGCCTGACAACTACAGATCTATAAGCCTCACTAGCGTGCCGTGCAAGGGGATGGAACGCATTCTGAAGCGAACTATCCTAAATCACCTTACTTCCGGCAACATGTTTATGGACAGCTTAATCCAAGCCAAGGAGGAAGGATTCATATCGGATGCTATATTTTTCGACTTTTCAAAAGCATTTGATAGGGTCCCACACGTCTAGCTGCTCCACAAACTCTAGTCTTACGGGATTCAAGGGAAAATCCTCCGCTGGATCAAGACAATCCAATCAGACAGATCATTCTGAGTTAGAATAGGCTCGACCTACTCTTCTCCAGCGCCGGTGTCCATTGGAGTTCCTCAAGGATCGATCCTGGGACCACTCCTGTTTCTGATCTACGTCAACAACCACCCGGATGTTCTTGCAAGTCTATGTCAACCTTTTTGCGGACGACTTGAAATCCTGGAGTTCCAATGCCAGCGCCCTCCAAATGGATGTAGACGCCGACAAGCAGTGGTCGTTGGACTTGCACCTGTCTCTGAATGACGAAAAGTGCGTCCAGATGTCATTTGGAGGAGACTCAGCGAATGCCTTTGTTGTGTGGTGAGAAAGGACCAGAAGGGATCATGAGGATAGGCGCCTAAGAGGCCTTGTGTATCAGGCTCTCCTCAAACTATCCTTCTCACTGCACCATGAGAAATATGCCCAAAAGGCATTTGCCGCTTTATAGACTATTCTGCGCACCTCCACCCGTATTCCTCGCATGGACTTTTAAATACTCTATGGGGTCCACGCCAGTCCGTTTCTTGAATACGCCAACTACGTTGTCCAAAAAGGACGCGCGAAAGACATCAGTCTCATTGAGCGCATCCAGCAGGCCCCAAATCCGTTGACTACGAAACGCGTTCCGAGGTGCGTGACTTTTTCCCCTGGAGTACCGTCGCATTCAAGAGGACCTAATTCCTGTTCGAACAAAGCTTGGCAAATGGTTTTTCACCGTTGATCAGGGAAACACACGGCGGAATCATAGTAAGATTTTCAAGCTCAGAGCGCACACATTCCTTAGGCAAACTTTTTTCTCATTTCGGGTAGTAGCTGCTCCGACGGTTGTCCACGTTTCTTCTAGAACCCAGTTCAATGCATTACTAGACATTTATTTAAGCAAATCCTCGTGCTGGCAAACATACTGCCCCCGCTGGGAACATAAAGAGCAGTGCAACACCCTTTTTTACTTGTCTTTCAGGTGAACGACGGCCGCTGAACGGCATGAACAAAACCGACCTGGGAAACTTGGGCAAAAGCCTCGATCTTGTGTATCAGTCCATGAATCCGTGAAACTATGAGCCCGGTGATGTTGTGCTCCGGTGGTAGTATATCCGGGTGTTTAGCGACATGAGGCCATACAGGGTTATCCAGCTTCTCTCCCCAAACATAAAAGGCCACCTATCATCATCGAGCATAAGATTTCTACGTGGACGACAGCCACTGACCGGCAAGAACAAAAGCGACCCGGGAAACTTGGGTGAAAGCCTCGATCCTGTGTACCAGTCCGTGAGTCTAATAATCCGTGAGTGTTCATATTTTTGTAGATCACCGATTTTCGTTGTCCACTGCAGCAATCATACGTCTGATGGAAGGACTCTGGCGAAATAATTTCCAAGCGTTACTGAGACCCCGGGATGTCTAGATGGGGCTCAAAAGTTTGAACTTATATTCTAAACTCAATAGACTGCCTGTTTTAGTCCATCAGGGACAAACAATAGCTTTCGAAAATTCGGTTCCATTGGGTGAATACTGAGCTCCGCGGCAGCGGTGGTTTTACGTTTTAGTTCAAATTGACCAGCTGGATCACGCCAACTCTGCTGCTTCACCAGATCACCTGTTCTAGATCGTCACTTTACACAATTCGCATTCTTCTTTTCATGTGTCATAAAGAATGACGCTTGTTTTGCCTTTTTTGTTTTTTCCTGCCACCATTGAATTATAACGACCTGATCCTGCTTTAGCTCAATGTTTTCCCCAATAGAAAAAATTGGTAATTGTGCCTTTCTCCCTTTCCAGTTTAGGAGTGACGGTGTCTACATCATTTAATGCCGTCCATTTTCCTCGTAGTTCCCAGTACACAAAAATCCCACTTGCCATGTTTATCCTGACTGTCACATTATGATCATGCTTGCCGGTGTGCCATCCATCAGTTGGGAGCAGACACTGTTATTATCACAAAATTTCTGGAAGAATTCTGTCGTTTCCAGATCAATTTATGGGATAAACCCGTGTCATTTTGTTGGATAACATAACATTACCCTACATATGCATTTCTGTCAGCTTGCATTCAATTCTCGCGGTTATCCTAGTCTCTGTCGTGATCCAGTCCATCGATGGGCCCCAACAGATGTTTGTCCATCTAATGTAAGACGTGGTATGCACTGCGATATCATTAGGCCTGGCAGCGTTTCAAATTTACGGGTTCACAACAACATATGCCAATTATCTGACTCTCCTTGTCCATTTGTCTGCGGCACATGCCTCTATCTTAGGGGTACTGTGCAACCTGTAGCTAAAACGAGAGCAATCAAAAACGAAACAAAAAGTCCCCACTGCCGAATGGGAAAGACCAGGGCGAATGTTCCGTTTGCTTCGGTGGTGTCCTCGCATGCCTAAAGGCGGATCGCTTCAGACAGAATGGTTAGACAGAAAGGGAAACAAGTGAACATTTCGACTTATGGTCACCATTCCCTCCCCTTCTGCAGTGGAGAAAATTTTGGGGCAAATTGTCAGCATTTGAAAGATGGGACTTTCAAACTCAGAGCAGACATTTTATTAGGCAAATTTCGGATGGAATAACCTACCTCTGACGGTTGTACATGGTCGATCTAATACCAGTTCAAAGTGCTATTAGACACTTTATTATGCGAGTCCTCGCGCTCGCAAGCTCACTGTCTCACGTTTAGAAATTGAAAAACAGCTTTACATCCTCCTTTCGTTTGTAACTTCTCGGTGAACTGTTGTCGCTGAACAACAAATCCGACCCGGGAGACTTAGGTGGAGGCATCGATCCCGTGAATCCGTGACTCCTTGAATATAACTTCTGATATTGATCCTTAGCCCGGCTGAATTCTACTGGATATTAAACTAATCCAGAGTTATGGTCCATCTCCTTTTAATATTCATGCATTGAATAAGATCGTATTCGGTGTCCTTTGCTTCTATCTCCGCTTATTTTTAGCAGAGCCATAACCTTCCAGCATAGGCTGAAAATTCGAACTGAATGTCCAACATGTGTTTGTTTATGTCATCGTCCAATTTATTCAGTTTACCGTTACGTCGCGGCAAATGAACCTGGACGCCCCCATAAAAATAACTCAAGATCAACTAAAAGCTATTGATGACTACGCCGAATATAAGCGGTATGTTTTAGGAACGTCATTTATATACTTTTTCAACAGAATTGTTGGTGAGGACGATGGTGGCACTATGTTTACTCCTGAACAATATGAGGCATATAAGAAGAAATATATTCCCATAGTATGTTTTATTTATTTACCTAGCTTTCAAGCGAATCAAAAACCGCATATTCATCTCATGGGTCAATCCGAATGGAGTGGATTGCATCCTTGCCGGGCCACAGACCGAGTGCTTCTGCCAACACCGGTGAGTTTGACGAAATTTTAAACCACAATCTACCTGTCAGGAAATGATTTGAATCGTCCGCTCTACTTTAAACGTTTGAGTATCATAGAAAGAAATCAGAATAGATTAATCCCAGTGGTCAGATACTAGTGGTTCTGCAGCCCATTAGTCGAATAACCATAGGGACATTGGTATTTTTCCGCAGAGAGCAGGATAAAGTGATCGATGAGTAATACCTATATTGTTTATTTGTTTTTTCATTTATCGAACATGAGGTTACACAACAAATGTAAAAAGGATCGACTATCATCAATATTACCAGAGCGAAGCGAGGGGAACAACTTCGATGAATTTGAAAGGATCTTGACAACGTGGATAGCCTTTGGCTGCACAATTCAGAATTTTCTCATAAGATTGCGCAGCGGTTTCCAGTTTTGCAATCAGAAAGCGCGGCCGGAACTTACAAAGGTGATGCGGCTGTGGCATGAAATACGGCGTGAGAGCCACTGTTGGTGATGGTGATGATGATGATGATGATGATGATGATGATGATGATGATGATGATGATGGTGATGATGATGATGATGAAGAAGCTAACCTCATGAACATCGTTTGCCTTGACAGCTTAGGGGAGGGCGTCAAACTCGTATTTGTACGCGTTGAAGAGACACAGAGACTGTTTTTAGGGTTGGAGACTGAAAGCAGACCAATAGAGTCTGATATGTTTAGTTCCAGAGGACCGGAACCATTGCTTGAAAATGGCTAATTCACTGAAACCAGATACCGAAAACGACGAAACCAGACTTCGTTTTAGGAACGTTTATGTAGACTGGCGAATACTAACATGGAGAACACCGTGCTGCTTCCGGGCACTCTGATAAGACAAACTTATTATGTTACTATAAACTCGAATCATAGAATCTGAGGAAAGTCCCCGGCTTGATATTAATGGACAAGCTACCAGAAACAGGCAATTCCATGGAGCAGTTAAAATAATTGCGCTGCGTGAGATGGCTGAGAACAGCGAGGATTCACTCATAAACCTTATTTTGAGTAAAACTCGGTGGACCTGTGCCGTGAACGCAAATTTTGGAGTAGCTTCCTCTATCCGGTTGGGCTAACAGGCTTTAAGACCAAACACAGGCCAAATCAGACAGGCTGTTCGCACTATGTATAACAAGGATGAAAGCCACTGCGGCAATCGAATGAGTGCCTTGTAAGAACTCCCATCTTTGGAGGGAACTGCATGCGTAAAAATGCCTGACTTAAGCACAACAACAGCAGGCAACCTGTGAGACATGATAATACAAAACAAATGTTCTGCCCTCAAAAAAGAAGAAACTGATCATCTGGTTGAAAACAAAGTGGGGATATGCATTAGTGCTGCTTTGAAGACTGGATAAAATGAGACGGCACATGTATTCTATGGTGCCCAGTGATAGGTGTCACTCACTTTACCTCCGCGTTGCAGCTTATTATGGACAAATTTGGCAACCCAAGCAGGGAACTCGATTGCGGTTCAATCATTCTACAATTACTGTCCAGTGAATTCGAGCACGGTGCTGGCAGAGACTAGATAGAGGTGGTTAAAAACATCCTCACTGCCCGCAAGAAGCCCAGGGGACTATGGAACCACAATGGCATAGGTTCATAAAAGATTTCCTCCAACAAGTAGTTACGTGTAAAGAACAGTGGGTCAGAGTGGCAGACGAGTGGACTCGATGAGCTGAGTGATGCATCCAGCACCTAATTTTACTTCAGCTCTTCTTTTGTTTGCATTACTAATCAAATAAGTGTCTTTCTTAGGGTGGCCAGCTCGACGTCGTAGTGGGCGGGGCGCCATCTGAACGACGTGCCGTAATTCCTGGTAGATCGTAAATGGTCCCTTGCGGCCGAGACTGTTCAAAATGTTTGTAGAAAAAATCCTTGAAACAATTCACCCTGGATGATCTACTAATATGATGAACGATGAGAACCACTTCAGAACCCAATTCAGCACCCTTGGGGACATTAAAAAAACAGTAGTTGTAAATAAATCCGGCCTAATTTTAACAGGTTGAGAGTTTCAGAGAAGAAGATACAACGTGTCACGTAATAGTGCTGTTTTCTATCGCGAAGAATGTAACCCACTCTTTTGGATCCGAAATAAGCAACAATTTAAATGTCGCACGGCACATGTTGCCTGGACTGTCAGATGATACATCAATGCCTTCCGACGCTACGTCGGAAAAACAGCATACTAAGTTTACCTGGCATTTTTATTTGATCACTGTCAGCGTAAATAGAGTTTTCAGGGAACCATGGATGCATGTACTGATTGTGACAGAATTTTGCTATCAGCCGCCCAGATAATTTCCAAGTTAGGAGGAGTGACACACATTGGTAGGTGCTCGAGAATGTTAGAATATGAAAGAACCTTTATGGATATAGTGTTTAAATACTGGACGGTCTGTGGTAGTCATCCTTAACTTTCACAAACAGGTAAAAAAAATGAGAAAACACGGGCTACAAAAACATTCCCACAGCTTTTTTCACCGCGTAAAAGGAAGAAATATGGGTGCAACAAATTGCCGAATGGTATATACTTGTTACCAAATTTTGAGAAACTCAAACAGATAATTGATTAAGGCTAACAATATGGCTCCGGAAGGTAGAACAAAGAATCACCTCTTAGTGGTGCCATTTTCCCTTCTTCATCTCTGTCTCACTTTTTTGAAGTCACCTACGCGTGGATTCATGGTTGAGCGAAACTGACACGAAATTGACCACTCCGTTCAAGCTGAACCTGAAAGTTTTAGGTGGCCATTAGCTTTAGCCCTCCACTAATCAGTAACATGTGAATGATACCAAATGAGTGAAGGTGTTGCTCACTTCCTTAATGGTGCAGCACCATTTAGTTGCCATACATCTATTGGTCTAATATTTAAACAAATATGGTGGTGCAACGTTCCCCTAATACATAAAAATAATGAAGAACGTGGCTGCGTGCTGTGGAGAACTAATGGACACGGCCGCCTAACAATTGTTCTGGAAGAAATGATTCTGCAAACCAAGCTGGGAATACTAAAGCATCCTCCTAGTCTCACGAACACTTTGTTTTCACAAACTATTCGTCTTTTTTTCGAATTAATGTTGATATTTTGCATATTTTCCCTGATTATTTGGGCTCCTCTTACTGTGAAGACCTTACAATCCGCGTGCAACAACGACGTGTGTTTTTATCTACGTTACCTAAACCCGTGCACAATATAATTCAGTGGCTTACAGGTTTTCAAATCCAGTAAATGTAAAAACGGTACTAGCAATGTGCTCGAAATCTCTTGATCTGCAAAACGACTGCGGGTTAATAATGGTCACGCTTGACTACATGGAAATTTGGAAGGCGTTTGTTTTCATCAATTTAGTCGATTTCAGTATCTGGCATAAATTTGGCTGCTATGGGAAAAGGACGTTTTTGGTAACAGTCGATGTATACAGTGGGGGGCCAAGTGACTTGGAGATTTCTTCATTGCTCCAGGTTGCGAAGGATTGGTGAATGCAACTGGCAGTATCCCGGCCCTCATGCGTCCTTCTGGTTGCATAGCAGCTGGACACCCAAAGTGTGCTACACCTGAAACATTTTGTGGTCCCAATCCGGTGGAACGACTGAGTTAACCAATAATGGCTTCTATGTTTCAATTTTAATTCTTGAACAAACTGCCCCTGGGTGGTCATGATCCAACACACGGCTTGGCCGAAAGAGCTCTACAAAGGAAACGATAGTCCAGCATACGAACCGATTAGCCATATTATCGTAACCTGTGACGTCGTCGTACCTAATGCTCTCAATACTTATACTTTTTTCTTGCTGGTATTTCATCTCCTTCAAGGTGTTCTTTTTTCTGAAGTACTACACTTTCACTCGTTTCCGACATAGGATGCCGTCGTGTGCTCTCTTGGGATGCATACATTTACATCATTTTCAACGTTGTTTGGAGTGTTCTGATTTCACTGTTTACCTAATGTCTGAGAATAAGAGCTTCACGGGAAGCAAAGTAGACACTAAACCGACTGGCTCAGTGGACAACTGCGCTTTTGATGACGGTGGCACAATGTACGGAGTGGCGATAATTTTCATTCGGTTATTGGTAGGTAAGGAATTTGGTTGATGCTTTGATTGCATTTAACAAATACGCTTATTTCACTTTACATTCCAAATAGGCTTTTCACCTATTCTTCGGAAACTTCATTAATTCTGGTTCACAATGTCCAAAATAGGATTATTTAGGAGGACCATGAGGACACCTTCCTTTCGGCTGCTGTTTTTCCCAGTGCTCATTCCAGACAATTGGCAAAGATATTTAAGTGTCTTTGAAAATCGACACATCCATTATGGGGAGACAAATAGTACGGTCTTCCGAATTCACTGTTGAGCCATAAAACCATTCACAGAGTGCAAGTGTTTAGGAAGTTTTACGAGACTTCGTTCAGTTGTAAAAAACTTTCTGTTCATCAAAACGGTCTAAAATTGTCAATTTTGCGGTTTTTGTTTGTCCGTTTCCTGAAGCTTAATTCAACATCAAACAGACTATGAGACGCTTCCCTCGGAGAGGCCGATTCCTGTGCCATGCAGACATTGCAATTGTGCCAGTTTCCACGTGATGCCAAAGTTTGGAAGTAGGATCGCCCGATGTCATTGTAAGCACATGGCGACGGAACACAGTGTGGTAAGTCCGCGTGATCCTCACTGTGCCTGTTTGGAGACGCTACAAGATATGGCTGCCAACCGATGTCACTGGCGTTCTTGTTGTCAGTTTCTGTCCAGGTTGCTGAGTGAATGTCTGGAGGTGTAGGCACCTCGGAATGATTGTATTAAGCTAGCACTAAGTCCCTTCCGCGTACACCTTTACTCTTTTCTTTAAATCAAGGCTTTCAAATAAGTCATGGTTGTACGGCAGTGAAGCATCGGTGTTGAACACTGATGTCATGCTGTCGATGATGATGATGATGATAATGATGGTGGAGTCCATTCCCCGTGGAACGGTACCGTCACATTTTCCCAATCCAAAGTGCATATCAAGCCATTCAAGGGCGGGGATAGACTTGGGTTTACTCACAGAGCTAAAAATCGGTTGTATCGTTTAACTGGTTCGGCAATGTTGTTTGTTTTAGTGTTTTTATTAACTTTTTTTATCACCAGTAACCGTGACGTTTTCAGTGCGCTATTAGGAGGTCCATCCTTGCAAAACACCAGTGGATGTGTGTTCTCGAAAAACCTACGATCTCTGAACCCAATAAAATTGTCCAACGCTGTCAAGTTCCACTTTAGTTTGCGGCGCTAAAATCACATCTGGTTTTGAGCATGTTTACTCGACCCTTGACTACGAAAAAAATGGTTAAAGACTTGTGTAGACTTTTGTAGTGATGAAATGGTAATAACTATTTTAAAAAATATTCATGGAGCCACTGACAGTATCATTGGTACGGTTATTGCCGTAGTCTGACGGTCCTTTGGCTGATCGGAGTAATGACAGTGCATCAAACACACGCCGTCAAGTCATCTTCAAGCGTTATAAATCTGACTGCGTGTCTCTCCAATTTACCAGTTAAATATTTTTGGAACTTAGGACGCCAAAAGCGAAGGCCAATGATAAAATTTCTTCAATGACATGTTGTGAGTTCCAGGGAAACTTTTCCAATGTGTTTGTCTGAGTTGGAAACGTCTTTTGCTTCAGAATTAGTGTGTACGACGATATATTTTGTGAAGGCCGCTGACAGAGAGAAGCTCGACAAATGGAAATACACTGACTCACCTCTGCTTGAAGTACTCACCTATAACTTCCAAGTTAACATCAATCACCGGCATGTGTACACCGTCTGGATCAGATGTGCTGCTTAGATTTTAGCCGGTCGGGGACCGTCAGTTGAGATGGACTTTAGGATAAACCAATACTGGGCACTCAAAGCTACCTTTCAGGTACAATCTTATCTTCAACGTATTTATATTCATCGGTTCACTTTCGACAATATTTCACCTCAACGTAGTGTATTTGATTGTAGGTTAAAATTTCGCTTTGTTTTTTCTTCCCCCTAGCGCATGGGTTGCACGGCTCAATTA